AGCTGAGCCCCTAACCACTGTACTATATATACTGCCTCGAGTTATGTTTTTAAGAGCGTAGCTGGAGCAGTAAGTGAGCTGAGCCACCCACGGCCCTGGGACCACTGTTTCTCTTATGGGGGCGGGGTTCTGATCAATCCGGCAGTTTGAGTGCCTGCTCTGTGAGGATTCGGGTGTTACTCCTACAGTACATTTGAAAACCATAAAAGGCAGGGAGGTCTCCGTGTGCTGGGTGGGAGAATATTTCTGGGAGGCTGGCTGACCTTTTAGGCATGCTCAGCTCCTATTACTCGGCACTGATGGGGAGAATACTGAGGACCCTCTCAGGGGGAAACCGCAAACCCTAACCCTTTTGTGCTCATTAGGCAAGAACTTAGTGAATAACTGCTTTTTCTTTCTTTTTTTTAAATTTTTTTTAATGTTTTTTATTTATTTCTAGGAGAGAGAGAGAGCGTGAGCAGGGAAGGGTCAGAGAGAGAGGGAGTCACAGACTCTGAAACAGGCTCCAGGCTCTGAGCTGGCAGTCAGCACAGAGCCCGACGTGGGGCTCGAACCCACGAACCGCGAGATCATGACCCAAGCGAAAGTCGGATGCTTAACCGACTAAGCCACCCAGGCGCCCCATAACTTCTTTGTCATATGGGAAATAACGCCATACAAGATGGGGGACCTTCTTCGTAGAGGTCCCAGCTACGGTAGGCAGCAGTAAGAATGCTGGGTGCTGATGCGTGGGGGGATGAGGCACAATCTAATGAGGGGAGTCATTCTTCTCTTTGGCCTCCTGGTAAGGGAAAGACAAGCAGATGTTGGCGGCAAGGAGCTGTGTTGATTGCAGGGGTCAGTTATTTCAGGGCGTGAAATGGGTTAGATGGATGGACCCCCGCCGGGAGCTATGTGGTGATGTCGGCAGACACGTTCATTTGTCGCAGTCAGGGATGTGACGAGGCTTCGAGGCCTCTAGTGTTGAAAAGGTAGAGGCTAGGGGGTCTCCAGAGAGGCTGTAATAGTATCCTGATCCAAGATGTCAATAGTGTCAAGGCTGAGAAGTCTCAAGTTGGCTAAGTGTCGGACAATTGCCACCAAATGCTAACAGCAGAGAGAGAGAGAGAGAGAGAGAGAGAGAGAGAGAGAGAAGCTCTCTCTTTCTTATCTCTTATAGGGCCAGTAATCCCATCACAGGGGCCTCACCCTCATGACCTCATCTAAAACCTGATCACCCCCGAGGGAGGCCTCATACCCTCAAAGTGGAGGGCTAGGCTTCAACTTAGGAATTTAGCTGGGGCGACGGGGCAGACACCAACATTCAGTCCACGGTGTAAGAGGTAAGAGTAAGCACTTATGTAGCATGTACTGTTCTAAGTGCTTTACATACATAGGAGCTCATTAATTCCTCGAACAAGTCTAAAGCAAGGCAATGATTTTTTCCCCACTCCACAGATGAGGACGGCAAGTAAACTGAGGTCACATGGTTTGTAGCTTACAGGGTCTGCAACTGATCTGGCTTCAGACCCAGACGGTTTGGCTCCAGACTCTGTGTTCTTTTTCTTTTTCTAAAAATTTTTAAATGTTTTATTTTATTTTTGAGAGAGAGACAGAGTGCTAGCAGGGGAGGGGCAGAGAGAGAGGGAGACACAGAAGCAGAAACAGGCTCCAGGCTCTGAGCTGTCAGCGCAGAGCCCGACGTGGGGCTCGAACCCACAGTGAGATCGTGACCTGAACTGAAGTCGATGCTTAACCATCTGAGCCCCCCAGGCGCCCCCCAGACTCTGTGTTCTTAATCTTCATGTGAAAAGTAGTCAACGTATAGCATCCACAGAAATTCGGAAAAACGGTTGCGGCTCTGCTGAACCAGGAGTCGCAAGCTGACTTGCTTTCCACCATCATATGCTTCTTGCCAGCAGCAGACACATTTGCTCTCATGGCCACTTCTTCCAATTAAAAAATATCCAATTAAAAATATCATTATATTTAATGACTACATTGGCATGAAGACAAATACAATTCAGGTTGGATTCATTGTCATATATTTATTAGTATCATATTTACTTCTCTTCTAATTTTAAAATAAATTAAAATTAAGACAGTTTTGTGGACCCAAAGTATCGTGGTCCCCAGGGACTGTGCCTGTTGGAGAAGTCCCCTCTGGCGGCAGAGGAGCCTGGCGGTCTCACAAGGGATTGGAGCAACTGCCGATAGAAGGGACGCGGTGGGAGTTAGAGCCGCCAGGAGAAGCCACTAGCCTTCTGGGGGGACACCTGTTGCTCCATTTCTTTCTTTTTTGTTTTAAATTTATTTTTTGAGAGAGGGATAGAGCATGAGCAGGGGAGGGGCAGAGACAGAGGGAAAGAGAGAGAGAGAGGATCCCAAGCAGGCTCTAGCACTGTCAGAGCAGAGCCCGACATGGGGCTCGAACTCATGAACCACGAGATCATCACCTGACCGGAAATCAAGAGTTGGATGCTTAACCGACTGAGCCACCCAGGCGCCCTCCAACTCCAATTTTTTTTTTAAGTCAATTCATCATTTCTACAAACACTACTCTAAAACAGAACAAAACAGGGGGAAAAAATCCAAGAGGAAAGAAAGAAGGAAGAGGAAGAAAAAAACAAAAAAGTATCATAATTTGGTTAAGTGGATTCTTGGGTCAGAGACCTTGGCTGGCCCACTCACGAGGCATATACCTTGAAGAGTGGACTTGATTTCTCTGTGCCCCACTTTATCATCTGTAAAATGGGAGCAATGCAAGTGTACACTTCTGCCTCAGTGGTGCAGGTGTTTGATCCGAACTAGATTTGCATTCCATTCTTTTTTTATGTTTATTTTATTTTTGAGAGAGAGACAGAGTGTGAGCAGGGGAGGGGAAGAGAGAGAAAGGGAGACACAGAATCCGAAGCAGGCTCCAGGTTCTGAGTTACCAGCACAGAGCCCGACATGGGGCTCAAACCTACGAACTGTAAGATCATGACCTGAGTCGAAGTTGGATGCTCAACCGACGGATCCACCCAGGCGCCCCTGCATCCTATTCTTAAATGACAAAGGCATTTCAGACCCAAACAGGAACTTGTAGGTCAAATTCCTTTGTTTTCTGGAGCTGGAAAATTGGGGTTGGAAGTTGGTCTGACTTCGGCTCAGGTCATGATCTCACGGCTCCTGAGTTCAAGCCCCACGTCAGGCTCTGTGCTGACAGTTCAGAGTCTGGAACCTGCTTTGGATTTTGTGTCTCCGTCTCTTTCTGCCCCTCCCCCATTCATGCTCTGTCTCTTTTTCTCTCTCAAAAATAAATAAACATTAAAAAAAATTTTAAGAGTGGCCAGAGATCTGGATTTCATGTGAAATGTCTTTTTTTTGTTTGTTTGTAAACAACAGAATACAATTTTTTAAAATACAAAATGGCATACATAAAACACATCTGCCAAGTAGGCAGGGCTCAGTGTGTGTGTGTGTATGTGTGTGTGTGTGCGTGCACATGTATGTGACTACTTTATAATCAGCTCTATATAGAAAGTAAATGTCCAATTGGCATCTGCTTGGCTTATAAAGGTGCCCTGTCGCATGTGTACAGAATCCGTGTGCTTTTAGGGACGAGGTTGGAAGATTAATTTGGGGACTTAGCTCGTGTCAGCCAAAAAGGGAGTTTTCAGTGAAATGAGTCTGACATCATTGCTGAAACTGTCAGTCTGGGAGCCTGAAGATGCCCCCAGGAATAAAAGGAAGAGCTAAGTGAGGGGTCAAGCAGGATCCAGAGAAGAGGCTAATTTTTTTTTTTTAGGGGAAAGAAAGAGGATGAAATAAGAGAACAAGGAGATCAGACGTGCAAATCAGAGCTCTCTAGAACAATTTCTAAACCCAGAAACCACTAGGAAAATATTATTGAGTCTCTTCCTACCTTCTTTTTTTAAAAAAATTTTTAACATTTATTTATTTTTGAGAGACAGACCATGAGCAGGGAAGTTGCAGAGAGAGAGGGAGACACGGAATTGGAAGCAGGCTCCAGGCTTGGAGCTGTCAGCACAGAGCCCGACGCGGGGCCTGAACCCACGAGCTGTGAGATCATGACCTGAGCCGAGGTCAGACACTCAACCGACTGAGCCACCCAGGTGCCCCTCTTCCTACCTTCTTCAATGAGATTTTTCACGAGTGGAGGGAGGACTTCTCTTGTAGAATTTTACAGCTGAACAGAACTAAATACTTTAAAAAAGTTCTATTTCCAGTTTGGAGGTAAATAAAATGGAGACTGGGGTGGATAATGGACTTGCCTGTGGCCCATAGCACATTGTAAAACCCCAGTGCATACAGGGAAAGACAAGAGATTTCAATGAGTCCTAGAGACCCAGAAGCAGGCATTGGGGAAGGGAGGAGACTTGGGCTCACTAGGGAGGGCCTGGCCTCCCCGCAGAGGTCTGTGTTACTCCCCGCGCCCCAGCAGGGGGCAGGTCCACAGCAGCCGGTTCTCACTTTTGAAAAGAAGTGCAAATCCCAATTTTGAGGAGGAAATCTGGCTTTTAAAAGCTATCAAGGAGTTCAAAACTTAAAACGCACCACTGAGGCCCAACACAGCATTTCTGATGTCCACATCTGGCTCAAAACCGCCGGTTTGTGACATAGGCTAGAGAACCTTCCAGAACCCCACTTATTTCCTCAAAGCATACTACCCACTGCACTTCCTGTCAAGTGTTGTTTTTGTTTTTTCTCCTCCCAAGGAAGCATTGTTAACTTAAGTCAGGAACGCTGGTTTTGATCATTTCCTTAACTCTTCATTCTGAGGAGACTTCACATGCAGACATCGCTTCACTCTTGTTTCCTTCCTTCCACTCGCTGGGTTGTGCTTGTTCAGCTAGAAATTCCGAACCCACAAGGAGCCTTTTGAATTCTCACCTTAGCTCTATTTTTTATTAAAGAATCTCCTTTTTATAGTAAACCAGGGAGAGGATGTTCAGAGTCCGGGTTCATAAGGTGCAGGGTTTTTTGATGAGCAGAGGCCAAAAATAGAACCACAGAAATAACACCTTGGTAAATCTTTAATGCTCAAGTGCTATTCTTCCCCTGAACTAACGCAGCCACTGGAACATCTTCCATCTCTGCGCTCAGAACGAGACACCGGCCGGAAGGGTAATTCCATTTGCCATGAACCCTCGATTCTCTTTCTTGATTCCACTCGAGCATCTGCAAGGCAACAATAAGAAAAACACCAGTGTAAACACCTGGCTTAATTATAAGCTTTTGTCCTGAATTTCCATGCGAACCCAGAAAATGAGTCATAGGCACGTCGTAAACCCATGAACTCTGGTTTCCGGTCATTCCCTTCATTCAAGACAAGGCAGTTTCCTCAGGTGATAATTTTTCCCATTTAGTGAGCAAATGTGTTTACTTGCTTCTCTATCAAGTCATTAAACAGATATCCTCTTTCAAAGAAATGCTGGAATGCTGCTTCCAACACTTCAGAATAGAAAAATGCAATAAAATAATTGAGGATAGAAATCTGAGTTTTTGCCTATTAAAATATGGGTTACAAATTACACGCATACATGCACACACCCACACACATACATTTTCTTTTTTTTTAATTTATTTTTCAATGTTTCACTTATTTCCGAGAGAGAGAGAGAGAGAGAGAGAGAGAGAGACAGTGTGAGCAGGAGAGGGGCAGAGAGAGAGGGAGATACAGAATCTGAAACAGGCTCCAAGCTCTGAGCTGGCTGTCAGCACAGAGCCCGACATGGGGCTCGAACCCATGAACCGTGAGATCATGACCTGAGCCGAAGTCAGAGGCTTAACTGACTGAGCCACCCAGGAGCCCCACACGCATACATTTTCTTTTTTTTTTTTTTTTAATGTTTTATTTATTTCTAGGAGAGAGAGAGACAGCGTGAGCAGGGGAGGGTCAGAGAGAGAGGGAGTCACAGACTGAAACAGGCTCCAGGCTCTGAGCTGGCAGTCAGCACAGAGCCCGACGCGGGGCTCGAACCCACGAACCGTGAGATCATGACCTAAGCGAAAGTCGGACGCTTAACCGACTAAGCCACCCAGGCGCCCCTACATGCATACATTTTCAAGACAGAAGACAGTGAGCAAATATTTAGCATGACCTGTCATATCAGCTCATTTCGTGGCTCCGAGCTTCACGCTCTGTGTGGTTCTTGTCTTCTTATTCCCCTTCTGTTTGCTTCTGCCCCTCATCTGTGAGGTAGTAACAGCACTGCCCATCAGAGAGGTGTGAAGATAAAATAATATAAAACATGGAGCACTCATAGCACAAGATCCGGCACAAAGCCAAAAAAAACCTTCATAAACGGTAGGTGCTGCTAACGCCCCCACCACGGGGTTCTTACAGGTAACTTTCCCGCGACTATTAAATGCTGCAGACAGAACTAGGTCCAGAGCACACGCGCCTGTCAGGGCCCTCGAGCAGAACAAACGTGACAGAGTTCACAACCTGAGCTCGCTTAGCGCATCACGTCAGGGGAGAAAACCAGAGAACACTGAGCAATGTGTATCTCACCAGATGTGAGTGTTCGTGCCTAGAATCACCCATGCCGCTCAGCATAGGTCTCCCTACGACGCATCTATTCTCTGTAAGTGACGTGCTGGGGAGACACATCCTCCGTGTGGGGACACTGAAAACCCATGCATCAGATGTGTTTTGCGGGCACCTGTTACTCATGAGGTTTTACATAAGCCATGCCTGTAACACATAGAGTTTGCCAAATACTGTGGTATTTTAATCAAAACATCGCCCAGATGCTCCAGCATTTCTTCGTTGGATCTACTTGGTCTTGTTTCCCCGCTCAGACGGGGTGCAGCTGAAGCGGGAATGAATGAGTCACTCTGCCTCGTTTCATGTCAGGGAGGCAGTACAGGCGGGGGTGGGGGGGTAGCAACCAGAGGCTAGACCCAGAGGGCCTGGGTCTGAGTTCTGGTTGTGCCCACTCTTACTGGTCTGGTAGTTTGGGGTTTGTAAGCTGGGGCTGATGAAAGAGCTGCCACCTCCTAACTTGGTTCGGAGGATTAAACGAATACTTAGAGCAACGCCGGGCCTCAAGTACAAACTCAGGAGCCGCATCAGGTCCGTCAGTTTGGCGAGCTAACTAAGATCCTGCCCTTTGAGCTCCCAGCTACCTACCCCATCCCGGAAGTGCCCGTGCACCCCGCCCACGGACCCCATCCCGGAAGTATCCGTGCACCCTGCCCTAAGGACCACTCCCGGAAATGCCCATGCACACCGCCCCCCAAATTTTGATGGTTCTTCAAGGGTTCACAGATCTCTACACCCACCTCCTAACCTCCAGGTTAAGAACCTCTGTCTAGAAAACACCCGAGAGAGGCCTGGAAAAGCGTGTTTACATTTGCAGCCCACTTGAGTCTTTGTCAGGATAGCTCACTCTTTCCTGAATCATGGCACACAAACAGGCAAACAGGTATTGTTAGAGGGACCCTTGTTACTGGCCCTTGGAAGTTTTAGTTTTGTTTTTAGGAAAGAAAGAATAGGGTCTTTCAAGCCGCTGATTTCATCATCTGCCTCCTTCGTGGGAAGAAAAGGGGTAACCAAAGAGCAGTTAGGCCTTCAGGGGCCTGCTCCGGGGAGCCGTCTGTCGGTTAGGAAGACAGCATTTCCTCTCCTGAGTTTCCTCTGCAATTTTTGTAGGAGCTCCTCAGAGGGACTTTCTGAGTCATTTCTGTGTCTAGACACATCAAAAGGCAAACTGTGTGTTTATCGGGCTCCCCAGATCCAGTGAGGAGACACAGCAGGGTGGCCTCCCTCTGAATCACTCACCAGATGGAGGGAGTTGAGGTGAACAGGTCCATGGAGCAGCATTCCTCACCCTCATTGGGAAGGGAAGTCATGTTTTCTCTTGCCAGAGCCAGGCAACGAGACACTGTTGGTTTTGTCTCCGTCTCTCGGTGCCAGAGCAGAACCCAAGAGAGCTTATGAAGACGCAGACTGGGTGAAGTCGTGAGAGGAACGTGAGGGTCACTCAGTGGTGTAGATGCTCCGTGAATTCCTGGGGTGCTAATTCAAGAGAGCCAGTGTGGCGACGGACAGGCCACTCAATTCAGACAATTAATTAAAAGATATTTTAAAAATCTGACCTACAGCAAACAGAAAATAATCGCTTTGGGTTGTTCTTTGGAAGCTTAATCCCTAATGCAGGGAAAGCTGCCACCCTACTATTTTTCACAAATTCCTTTTTCTCCCATATCTGGATTGTTCTGCAGTGTCCCCCCACCCCCAAGCCCGATGTCAGATTTAACATTAACCACATCCCACACTAACTCATATTTGTATATATACATACATATGCATGTATGTATGCCCACATCCACTCTAATCTGAGTAAGACCTGATTGTCAATGTAGTGTTATGTTTTGTGCGTATTTAGCTAAACATCAATTGTGTGAGATCTTGACACTTCTTTTTCACGCCATTCTTTTCATTTTCATTTCAAGTCCCAACCTAGCCTCTGTGGAAACCTGATCCTCTTCCAAACAGTTCCCACATAGGTGAGATGACTGACCGTTAGAGGGGTATAGGTTTTATGGTCTCATCAATAAATAATCCCATTCCAGAGGCTCTTCTAAAGCTAGACAATTCCCAAGGTTTTCAGCTTGTAGACTTGATTTGACTGACTTGATAAATCTAGGTGGTGCCATCCTGGGACTGGCTGATTGGATACGATGCTGTTGTTGACTTGCGAAGGGAGAGGATAACCACCCCCCCAACAAGGCAGGAGAAATGGAAAGGAGGTCCAGTGTGTGCACTGAGGTCCCAAAAGCACATTTTGAACTGAGGGGAGTCTGCCCTAAATAATATATGAATTTGAGCAAATCAAATGCTCTTAGAAACCTCACCCTCAAAGGAAGGCCAACATATCAGAGACTGTCTACAGGAGGATTCTCAATGACCAAAGAACTTCACCCATGATTGGAACCATGGTACCTTTCAAGGCACTTATGGCTCCATGAACTTCCTCCCCCCAATTCAGTAATGCCTGATTAACATAATCTCTTCGCCCAACGTGGGGCTGGAACTCACCACCCTGAGATCAAGAGTCATATGCTCCACTGACAGAGCCAGCCACATATGGTGATGTTTGATTAAATGTCCTTCTCGCCCACCAGACCGGGGGCTTTTTGGCGGCAGGAATTGTGTCTGTTTTTGTGTCCCATGTTATACCCACTGCACAAAGTACAATAGTGGGCACATAGTAAGTTCACAATACATCCTCTTATTTACCGCTTATCTGGAGTAAGGCACTATGGCGTAGTCATTATGTGTGTGGCCAGGGTTTATGTTAAGGACCTGCCGGGGTTCGAGACCACCTTTGTCCCTTATCTTTGGGTAGGTTGCTTTTCCCTGTGCCTTGGTTTCCTCACCTGTAAAATGGAGAATGAAGAACCACTTCAAGAGGGGTTATACTTCCTTTTCTCTGTGTGCCAGTTTCTTGTTGACTACTTGTTTTAATTATGTTTTAACATGTTATACTCTATATTTTTAACATCAAATTGTATTATTGGTGATTTGGGTAATTCGGACCATGGAAAAAGAGAATACTTGTGTGTGCAATTTTTAAAAATTTGCCACTGTGTCAAGCAAAGCATTAAGTACTTGTGGCTTGCACATCTTCATGTGTGGAAACAGGTTCACAGTTTATTTTCGCAATGTGAAAAATGTATCTTGGTAATGTCGTTAGCAGCATGGGATTTGGGAAAGGTTCCAACACTTGGATAAGGGAGGAGAAAGAGAAGCAAGAATTCAGACCAGCACCTTCTGGGTTCTACAGCACAGAAAATCAACATGTGGGTTTCAGTTATTTCCAATATCTGTCTGAAAGTCAAAGAATACTCAGAGGGGAAAGGAAGGGAAAGGGACTTCAAAATGGCACCCAACCAAAAGGAGTTTAGCAGAAGGTCATAGAGGTAAGTGCTCAGGGGCGTCTTTGGGGAAGGCTACATCATCCATGGTTGTTTACAAAGCCAGGAGCTAAGGGGAATGAAGCAACTCAGAGGTGTTCATACGATAATTCTTGTTGTGGACTGATCATGTCTAGGTAAAGAATGAATTCCTCTCCCCACACGAATATTACAGACTTGGCCCACGTGTCCCGAAGGAGAGAGAGATGGAAAGGGGCAAAGGAAGCTTGATGTTCTGGACACCAGACACGATGAGTGTATATGTATATTTCCTTGGAGGATCTGGTTTTATGGGCACTGCGTTCCTTCTTTGAGGTGTTTTGGGACACTCACATAATATTCTGTAATTATCCCAATCTGTGTTTAAAAAATAGAACGAGCCACCATGACATTACCCCACGATCTCAGTTTACGGCAGATAATAACTGGCTGTGGCGAGTAGGCCTCGAAGATTCCTGTGTGTAGCAGTATATCATTAGTCTTTTCTTCAAGAGAAATATTATTACTGTCAGATCAGAATCTTTGCAAGCCTTTGGATACTTATTGTGTCTGACACATAAAAGTCTTCAACCCAGAGACACATGTTTGGTCTTTAGAAAATTGTTTCCCAAAGCAGTTACTGGATTTCTCTTCACATTTCTCCTCCATTTTCTCTACCACTTATTTTTGTCCGGTTGGCCATTTTTTTAATTGGTTGTTTTTATCAGTCTTCCTCAAAATTACCAGCATGGGATAATAAGCTATTCCTAAATATGGATGCTGTGGACCCCAGCATTCAAATTCAGTATTAGTTGAGGGTATGGTTGATGGGAAAGTAGATAAGATATCCATTTGGTGATTAAGGGCTCAGAAGAAAGAGTTTTGGCCCATTCCCAGTGGGGCATTGTTTTTCCTCATTTTGCCCTCCCCCACCCCCCATACATGAAGTTCCTGATGAATTCACCAATGAATTTTATCACATCCCTGGTGGGGATGGTGATTCTTGGATCTGTAGTTGAACTCAGGGGATTTGTAACTGGCTATGGGCCAAAATGTGTGGGAGGAAATATCTCACGGGGGTGCCTAAAGATCCTTGGTTTATGTACTTGAGCAAGAAAATGCTCAGCAGGGGAATTCAACAGTCTTTTGAGTGCTCTTTCTAGATTGCTTCTTTTCTTGGCTTGAGCAATGGGTTAGCACATTGGGCTATCCTGTGTAGTTCAGAGAAAGGACCCAGGGTTCCACTTAAGCTTCTTTCTAAGTGTTTTTTTTTTCTCATCAAAAATCATTTCTTTGTT